GCATTTGGGAGGCAGGGGAAATAGAGAGCCACCTTAGAAATAGACTATTTAATTCTTTCCTATTATGCTTAGCATTTGTGGACATTTGAAATAAAGAGATTTTAATTTAATGCTAGTTATACTTCAGATTCTTGGTGTAGAATTGGCTTTAGCTGATGGAGTATTATTATCATATATTTTTTTTTCTATTAATTTTCTTAAAAGTGAAGAATAAATTTTATGCAAAGCTGCAGGGATGAATTTTAGAGACTGACTTAGCCTTACATGCTTTTGGGGTTGCTCCTAAAGGTATGTGGCATTGTCATGTCCAAACCCTTAAGTTGGGGCGTGACAATTTTTGGTATCAGAGCAACATGGTTGAGATCTCTAGGGCTAGGGTTGGTTTTGTAGCCTAGTACATGGTTTGTGAGAGTGGGGTAGGAATAGAAATGGGTCATACTGCATATGTTATTATTTAAATAATATTTATATAATATTGTTTTGTGGTTAAAATCTTTGTTGTTCATTTTGTAAGTAGACTTGGTGAAAGGCTATGGCTGGGGGAAATCGTGGAACAGGGCGCAGGGGTAGACCACCCCTAAGTGCGCGTGCTGGTGGGAGAACTCCATTAGTTGCTAGGAGCGAGCCTGTTAATCGAGATGAGGTTGAGGTGGATGATGTTCAAAATGAGTCATTGGACTCTTCTGCAAGGAATCATGATCAACATAATACAAATGTTGGACAAAGTCAACAGTTGGGACAACAAAGTCAACCAAATTTCATGGAAATTATGCAGACTATGGCAAAGACTATGGCTGAACAACAAGAGTTAGTCAAGTCCTTGGCAGAGCAACAAGCAAGGGTAATTGCAGAGCAGCAAGAAAAGGTTTCAACACCACAGCCTATCCACAAGGGAGGCTTAGCAGAGTTTGTTAAGCTTGCTAAGCCTTTCCATGGAGATTTGAAGGATCCACTAGAAGCAGAAAATTGGATCAAGGAAATGGAGAAGACTTTTCGGGGGTAGAGTGTCACTGAGGAGAATAAGGTGCCATATGCTGCATATTTGTTGAAAGGTGATGCAAATAATTGGTGGGAGGTAGAAGAAAGCAAGCACACTTCCCCAATTGACTGGAGTACCTTCACCGAAGCATTCCTTAGGGAGTATTTACCTGAAAGTGACAGACATGAGATGCAGCAAAAATTTCATACCCTTGTCCAAGCCGACAAGTCTGTGAAGGAATATGAGAAGGAATTCAACCGGCTTTTAAAGTTTGCTCCTCTGGCTACTCAAAAGGATGAGGAATCTAGGAGGTTGAAATTTCTCTATGGGCTGAATCCATATATTCTGTCTGAGGTTCAGAAATTTGAAGTAAGTACATACTCTACAACAGTTAACAAAGCCAAAGTGATAGAGCAAGGTCAGAAAGTAGTTATAGCAGCAGAGGAGAGTAGTGTTGGCACTAAGAAACAGAAATGGATGGGTGCCTTAAGCGGGAAAGATTCCACTAATCACAGTTTTATACAGAGCAAAAGACAAAACATAGGATTTTCTGGGAATCGAATGCACCAGGGGGGAAATGTTCAGTGTTGGAGATGTCGGGGGCCCCATGAACCCAAGGATTGTAGATGGCTGTTAGGTTTGTGCTTTAAGTGTGGTCAAGCTGGGCATCATGCAGCCAATTGTATTCATGCAAGGTACCCACCAAATTCATGTTTCAAATGTGGGCAGCAGGGACATAAGGCCATTAATTGTCCTCAAGGTAGACAAAACACCCAGGTTACTCAACGTGCTCCAGCTAATCAATCAGTTGCCAGCGAGAGAGCATCTACTGCAGGTTCAAGTAAAGGAGTAAGTCAGAAATCTCCAGTTAAGGGTCGTGTTTTTGCTTTGACTCAACAGGATGTGCTGGCATCTAATGATGTAGTGACAGGTACACTCTTAGTTTCTTCATCCTATGCACATGCTTTATTTGATACTGGTGCTTCTCATTCATTTGTATCTACTACATTTGCATCAAAACTTGGTGTACCTATTGACTATTTAGAATGGGGGATGTGTGTCAACACCCCTAATGGGGGAAAGTTAGTCACTAACCAAGTTTGCAAGTCTTGTTTGGTGCATGTTGAGGGGAGACAACTTCCTGCCAATTTAATTATTCTTGATATGCATGATTTTGATATTATTTTGGGAATGGACTGGCTTGCTCAAAATTATGCTAACTTGGATTGTCATGGCAAAAGGGTAGAATTTCGAATTCCTAGACAGTAGGAATTTAGTTTTGTAGGTAACACTAGAAGGTCACCTCCAATGATCCTATATGCACTACAAGCTCATCGATTATTAAGTAGAGGTTGTGAGGGTTACTTGGCTACTGTTATTGATAAGGAATTTGATGAATTGCAACTTCAAGACATTAATGTGGTGCGAGATTTCCCTGATGTATTTCCAGATGAATTGTCTGAATTACCACCGAATAGGGAAGTGGAATTTTCTATTGATTTGGTTCCTGGAACAGCTCCAATCTCTAAGGCTCCATATAGGATGGCCCTTACCGAACTCAAGGAGCTAAAGGAGCAATTGCAAGAGCTGTTGGATAAAGGTTTTATAAGGCCAAGTGTGTCACCTTGGGGTGCTCCTGTGTTATTTGTGAAGAAAAAGGATGGAACCATGAGACTCTGTATTGACTATAGAGAGTTGAACAAGGTGACAGTACGTAACAGGTATCCTTTGCCTAGAATTGATGATCTTTTTGATCAGCTGGTGGGAGCTCAAGTTTTCTCTAAAATTGACTTGAGATCTGGATACCATCAATTGAAGATCAAGGGAGAGGATATTCCTAAATCAGCCTTCAGAACCCGCTATGGGCATTATGAATTTCTGGTGATGCCATTTGGGTTAACTAATGCTCCTGCAGCGTTCATGGATTTAATGAATAGGGTGTTTAAGCCGTACTTAGATAAATTTGTTGTGGTGTTCATTGATGATATTTTGGTGTACTCTCGAAGTATAGCAGAACATGAAGAACATTTACAGCTAGTTTTACAAGTTCTGAGGGAGAAAAAGCTTTATGCAAAGCTGAAGAAATGTGAGTTCTGGTTGAATAGTGTTGCATTTTTAGGACATGTGGTGTCTAAGGATGGAATTTCAGTAGATCCGGAAAAGGTTAAAGCAGTGGTAGAATGGAGTAGACCTACTAATGTGACTGAAGTTCGGAGCTTCTTGGGCTTAGCTGGGTATTATAGAAGATATGTGGAGGGATTTTCTCGTATTGCAGTTCCATTAACTCGATTAACCCAAAAGGGTGTGAAATTTGAGTGGACAGATGAATGTGAACAAAGTTATCAAGAGTTGAAGAGTAGATTGGTCTCTGCACCTATTCTGACTATTCCTGATGATAGTGGTGGTTTTACAATTTTCAGTGATGCTTCAATGAAAGGGTTGGGTTGTGTTTTGATGCAACATGGCAAGGTGGTAGCTCATGCCTCAAGACAGTTGAAACCATATGAGAGGAATTATCCAACTCATGATCTCGAACTAGCGGCAGTTGTTTTTGCTCTTAAAATTTGGAGACATTATTGATGAGTTTAATTTTTATATGGATTTATCTACCCTTTTTGAGCCTAGAATTTAATATTATGGGTCCTTTGTAACTTAGTTTCACCTTTGTTTATATTAATTTCATTATTTATAGGTGGAAATTAAGATAGGAATTAATTTTGCAATAAGTGACAATTTGCACATACTGCAGTAATTTAACCATATCTTTTTCTCTAGGTATCGGATTGAGTTGATTCTTCAGGCGTTGGAAAGCTAAGAGGCAGAGCTACAATTGATGTTTTATGAGCTCAACCCAGTTTCTTCTGTATCAATACAGAATTGAAGTTAAAAGTGACGGTTTTGACAAGACAGTGCAGAAATAAAGGGAATTGGGCTGTGTTTTTTAGGTTTGGGCCAACTGCAGTCCAGGCCCAAACCAAAGCCCAATTCCCATGTCTGCTAGGGTTAAGGGGTTTCTAATTTTTGGAGATATATATAGATGCTACTCAGCAGAAACAGAGGAGACACACAGACGCAAGAGAGTTGTTCTACGCGAGAGGAGTTGTTCTGCGCAACAGCACCCAGCCGCCCACATCCCAGCCACCCACATCTGTTGTTCACCAGCAGAAGAAGAGGACAGCCACGCGAGATTGCTCTGCACATTGGAGGAAAAGCCGCCGCCCAGCCTACTCGGAGGGAC